GGGTGCGGGGGCTCACACATTGTGCGTGTTGCAGACCCCAAGCTGGTCATGGACGCGCGCGTGCTGCTGGAGCGACTGCCGCTGGACAGGCTGCCACTGGTCTGGTCTACGATGGGGTGCACCTCTAGGTCCAGCTCTATGCACAGGGCGGGGTCCAGGTCTAGGCCCAAGGCGGGGTCCAGTTCTAGGCTCAAGGCGAGGTCTAGCGCTGGGTCCACAACAGAGTCCAGCTCCCAGTCCACGGCGGAATCCAACTCTAGGCCCACGGCGGAATCCAGCTCTAGGCCCACAGCAGAGTCTAGTTCCGGGCCGACTGCGGAGTCACGTCCCGAGATGTCCGCGGAGCGCGGCTGGCGGCGCGTGCAGCTGCCAGAGAGCGCGCGGGGCGCGGGGCGCGGGGGGCGCGGGGGGCACGGCGCCCCCACGGCCGCCGTGCGCCCCATGTGTGTCACACACACACGGACAGGTACTGTACACAACGTGTCCTAGTCCTAAGTTAATTCGTCCATACAAAGTCATTGAGATAGACGTATTAGTCCGGTCAATTTAGGCATTCGAAATTAGGTCTATAGGTTTTTCTTCTTGATCTTCTTAACAAGGAGGAACAGGAGAAGAAAGCCTGTTTCTTCTCATCTTCATTTTGGATGCCAGTAAATTGCGTCAATAGCGTTGTATCGCAGGATACTTCGTAGGATCCTCCATTGTTGGTGATTCGATATGAGAACACGATCGCCCTTGACAATTCGTGAATGCCAAAGAACAATACAGTCCCGCTTGTTTGCAACCACATTTGGCACTGCATGCATCCCTTTTTGCAAACTTCTGAAATCAGAAGAGAACAAGAATTTGATACTTAGGAATCAGGCGAATGAACTTTACCACTTTTTTTAATTTACTTACAAAGAAAGAAAGAAAGAAAAATATATTTCTCAGAATGTAGTTACAATTTAATTTACATCGCTTTTATCTTTTCCAATCTTTGTAAATATCCGTTATTTTGCAATAGTTTTACATTAAACAGGATCACAATCACAACTGACCCGTGCAGTAGCCCTACTGGGAAACCACGTTAAAGAACGCGGTAGGTGCACTCCCTCACTGGGGGCGTGGAACCGTGTGCACTGTGCATACTATGACGATTACAGTTTTATAAGTTTCGAATCGTTATATTTCAGAACCGGTGCCTCGTAAGAAAAGAGTCTTGATATATTTTTGTACGTAATTTTTGTTTAAAGTACTTTTATGATAAAACTTACCGTTTTGCTAAAAATCGCAAATGACCAATTTTTTTACCTTTGTATTGCATTTTTTTTCCACGCACGGGAATGTTGGGGATCCTTTAAACATTGTTTATGATTATGTTTTGAATAATTTTACGTAACTTGTTCAGCTCGTTGGGACTTTACGTAACTTCATTCTCATGTTTTGGTCTAAATTGACCGGACTATAATTCTGCAAAATTTCTAAGTAGCGCCTCTAGTGTCAAAATCGTGAAGCTGTCTAAGAACGACACTGACAGTTTTCGTATTACATCATATAAACACATTTATTGAATATAAATCAGATTTATGTGGTTCCTTGTAGATAAATATTTAAGTAAATTGCAAAATTAATCAAATGTTAAGTGTTAATGAGAAGTAATTGGATGATTATACCCCTTAAAAACACAGTCTAATGTTATTCTTGTATTTTTATATTTTTGGAATGATGTAGGTTAGTTACTACGTATTATTTCGGTATCAGGCAAAGGCTACAACTTTAAGCTACAACTTTTACTCTACTCAGCATGGGGCACATATTATTAAAATAATTAGAACATGTCTTGGAACGGTCATTAGTACGGGATTTCGATTTACTACAAAACGAAGTAATAACAACAAAATGAATAAAGATGGCGCGCTTCAAGAGTTAATTGTGACGTCATGTCCGCCTAAGAGTGGGGGAGATTGAGTGACTTTCAACATCGCAGAACAGCAGTCACTCTTGGCTGGGACTCCGAACGAACAACGACGCGCTAAGAATACTGTCGGCCGAATAGTGATTGCAATCCTTAGAATCAGTGCTGTGTAATTGTCATTGAGATAATATTGTTTGAGATTATAACGGTGAATATTATTACAATGTAAGTGGACTAAACTTTGATGTATTTTAACCATTTGTAAACTTTGAAAGGGACTGAGACTAAGACCTCTGAGTTTGTTTCGGCATTTCCGACTTAATTAAAATGTGAACAAGTAAAGGTGCACTGTCGAAAGTAAACATTGCCTTATTTACGAAGATTTAATTGTTATATGTGACGAAGAGGGCTCTCGCTCAACATCGCCCACACCATCCTCCGACATCAGAAGTGATTATTGAAAATATTAAAATTATCGGAGCCGGTTCGTGAACTACCTACTTGCAAAAATGCGACAAAGAAGATAGTGTTACAAGATTGGACGTGCCTAGCTATACATAGCTAGCTCTCTCACTCAGTCGTGAAGATTCGACGTGGCTAACGTTGAGGCAGCTACTTCGAACTGAATCGCTATCTGAAGCAGCAAATGAAGACATGACGTGGTGCCGATTCAAGCCGGAGTACATTGGCGTCCAGTGACAGCATGAGATACGCGGCGTTAACGCAGCGTTTGGTGAGCGGCGTGTTGATGTCTGCAATTGCTGCCATCTGATTATACCAGGTGACTTTGTTCCATTTATTATGATTCTGATACCAAGTACTTTATAGGTCGAAACGAGTCAAAGATTTGAGTTTACGATTGTTAGTTTTTTCAATTAGAAATTTTATTTCATTTTCGTCGGGTAGTTATTTAAAGAAAATAGTCGTAATTAAATTCGAGACGGTTTAGGCCTTGTATTGGTAGGACCGACAATATCTGACCGCGGCTAGTAATATTCCATTTTAAACAAAAAAAAGATAAAGAAACTTTTGCTGTTTGAATTGTCAAACACCGCGAGGACGCCGGTGGCCGCGACCTATTGTTCTTTAATTGTGTCTATAATGACTGTACTCAAACGGTTAATGGTACCTAATCTTAGTAGATTATTGTGTCTTAAGTGAATTCCGCGAAGTCAATGTAATTTTGTTCATTCGTTCGCAGTCTAACGCAGTCTAACAGAATTGAGAGAAGTAGTTTTTTCCAAAACAAGTTCAGAAAGTTGCCAAGTTGAATATTGAAGGGTCCTCTAAAGTCCTGCGTTTATTTAAGATTATTGTTGGGTTAGAGAATAGTTAAAGCACTAAGCGAAACTCATGATCAGATGAGAAACGTGCTTCCCTTGATCTTCGCCTTTGGGATTAGTGTTGTAGTTGGGTCAACATTCTGATTTATTTTACTACACCGTGTGTACTTATCATAGTCATTACAGAATGTTGTGAGAAGTTTGTTTTTAAAAAAAACAAGTTAAAAGCAAGTGTTAAGGAGTCCTTTAAACTCCTACGCTAGTTTAAGATTATTGTTGGGTTACAAAATAGTTAAGCTAAGTAAAACTCGTGATCGGATGCGAAGCATGCTTCCCTTTATTTTGTTTTTAGGATTTGTGTTAAATTTAGAAACTTTCAGTGGTGGGTGTCAATTCTAAGGATCAAATATTCTGATTTATTTAACTGCATCGTGTGCGCTTATCATAGTCGTTGTTGCGGCAGGGCTCTAAACCATATTATAATACTGCAGTCGTGGTTGACTTGTAATGACTTGGAAGTCCTGGCGAGTGACTATCCACACTAACTGCCAATTTCAATAAACTATCGTAATCCAAAATCGATCAGTCAGACCCTTTACCAAACAATTGTAGATTTTTCCTAAGTATTAAATTGCCTACTATTGGAATCTAACTACTTAAGTACTAGATTCAGATTCAGATTCAGATTCATTTATTCATTGTAAAACATAGGTACATTATAAGTTCTTATGTAATATGTTGAGAGCGCTATGTTTTGCCTCTAGGGCGTACAATACATGCAATATACTTAATAAAAAAACAAGGATTTGACACAGATTCATAAACAATAAACAGTAAACACATCACTACAATTACACAATTTTGACCATTTATCTCGTTAAGAATTTGCAATTTCATTAAACATTGACGACTCTTTAAATCAAATTAATAAAATAATGTAAACCACAAAATATCCGCTTTGAAGAACATTAGAGATTTTCAATAATGGCATAAATTAAAATTAAATGTCAAAAATAATAATATCAAAATGTTAAAAATGTAAAATTCAATGTCAAAGCGTAAAATTAAAAGTCAAGATGTCAAACTTCAATGTCAAAGCGTAAAATTAAACGTCAAGATGTAAACTTCAATGTCAAAGCGTTTAAATAAATGTAATAATATGAATTAATAAAATTACTGAATTTAATCAAATAGTCATCCAAAATTAAAATAGTCATCAAGTCAACATTAATAATAATAATTTATAAAATTACAGAATATAATCAAATAGTATTATCATTAAAATAGTCATCCAAGGCATAATAACATTTCTCAACTAATAACTTGTGAAGACACTTTTTGAATTTCTTTAATGGCATACATTTTATAGCATCGGGTATTTTATTAAAAATTTTTGGTGCTACACCAAAAAAGCTCTTTTTCATTAACGCAGTATTACATTTCAACGTACATAGTTGATTTTCATATTGACTCCGAATGGGGGTCTTCTTAACTGTTGAAAACTTTGTAAATAAATGTGGATTTGATTTTACAAATAGTGCAGTTTCTAATATATATATAGCTGGTAACGTTAATATTTTTAATTTCTTGAAGTAGGGAACGCAACTATCTGTTGACTTTATATTACACATGGATCTTACACATTTTTTTTGCATCCTAAATACTAGTTCTCTATTACATTTGAGTATTGTCCAGTGGATTTTTTTTAACATGCTGCCAAGCATTCTTATCTTCAAGATAATCTATCAGTGTGTATTTTTTTTGATTCTATAATTCGCGTTTAATATGTTTTAAACTTTTCTCTCTCGTTCTTTTTTTTTCGTGTCCTATAAAGTTCACGTTAGCAAACAGTAGCTGTGAGTTACTGTTTTTTTTACAGCCGTGACCAGTTGTAAAGTAAAGGCTAAATGCTTTGGGTTGTTTTTTTTTTTAACTTCCCAGAAAGAGGCCGTGATTGTGATATGACAGTTTGACTGGAAGTTTTTTTGTTATTAGTTTGGCTACTGAAAGTGGTAGTAGTAGTAAAACAATAACTTTGGTGTTATTTCTTTGTTTTGATTCGTTGCAATGAGTATAGATACAAATTAAACAGATCCAACATTGGTCTTGAATTGAAAAGCCCATTTAAATGGTTCAAGTTTTGGAGGACGAATATTATAATACTGTAGACTTTTTGCTGTAAATTTGGTCCAAGTATAAGTGCTGACAGATCGCGTATCGGTCGAGAGTCGGAGATTATTTTTAATTAAAGTTCAAGTTGTAGTAGAAGCTCGAGTTAGGTTAGGTTACATTACTTTTGTGTTTGTGAATGTTGATGTAAGTCGAGGACAGGGGCCTCCTTACTTTTGTGTTTGTGACTGTTGATGTAAGTCGAGGACAGGGGCCTCCTTACTTTTGTGTTTGTGACTGTTGATGTAAGTTGAGGACAGGGGCCTCCTTACTTTTGTGTTGATGTAAGTTGAGGACAGGGGCCTCCTTACTTTTGTGTTGATGTAAGTTGAGGACAGGGGCCTCCTTACTTTTGTGTTGATGTAAGTTGAGGACAGGAGCCTCCTTACTTTTGTGTTGATGTAAGTTGAGGACAGGGGCCTCCTTACTTTTGTGTTGATGTAAGTTGAGGACAGGGGCCTCCTTACTTTTGTGTTGATGTAAGTTGAGGACAGGGGCCTCCTTACTTTTGTGCTGATGTAAGTCGAGGACAGGGGCCTCCTTACTTTTGTGTTGGTGTAAGTTGAGGACAGGGGCCTCCTTAACTTTGTGTTTGTGACTGTTGATGTAAGTTCTCCTAATTTCAACTGAAGATAAGCTGTCTTTAAGTTCTTTTACTGCGAAATTATTTCTTTTTACTGGGTCGGGCGCCCTTTTTGCAAAATAACAGTGTCGGAACGGTCATTAGTACGGGAGTTCGATTTACTACAAAACGAAGGAATAACAACAAAATGAATAAAGATGGCGCGCTTCAAGAGTTAATTGTGACGTCATGTCCGCCTAAGAGTGGGGGAGATTGAGTGACTTTCAACATCGCAGAACAGCAGTCACTCTTGGCTGGGACTCCGAACGAACAACGACGCACTAAGAATACTGTCGGCCGAATAGTGATTGCAATCATTAGAATCAGTGCTGTGTTGTAATTGTCATTGAGATAATATTGTTTGAGATTATAACGGTGAATATTATTACAATGTAAGTGGACTAAACTTTGATGTATTTTAACCATTTGTAAACTTTGAAAGGGACTGAGACTGAGACCTCTGAGTTTGTTTCGGCATTTCCGACTTAATTAAAATGTGAACAAGTAAAGGTGCACTGTCGAAAGTAAACATTGCCTTATTTACGAAGATTTAATTGTTTTATTGCTGCATAAACATACCTCTACCGATATATGTGACGAAGAGGGCTCTCGCTCAACATCGCCCACACCATCCTCCGACACATATCTGCCTATTTACACCGAACAAAACACCAATGGCTCTAAACGACATATTTTGTTTGATTTTTACCATTGCCATAACTCTGTCTCGCACAGACAACATTTTCTTGTTTGTTGGAGCATTCGAGGCCAATTCACTGACACAAGTGACCAACGTTTGTAAAACTGCAATTGAATGAATACCCATAAAAGTAAATAAATACATGTCACTGCTGAATAAATCTGAGAGCTGATCTTTCCTCTTTCCATACAGGAAGAAAATTTGATTCATAATTTTGTCTAATGGAAATAAATGAAAAGTTATTCCCGTATCTCCGTGAGTATTACATTCAGGAACGCAACAATATATTTGTTTATTAAAAACATGTTCCTGTATGTAATCGTGATCCATTTGATTATGTTTAAACTTAATAACTTCAACTCGAAAGCAAAGTGTCGTTCTTAGATAAGTTCTAAATTTCGCCGCTAGAGGCGCGCGGATAATCTTTGTATCGCCATTAGAGTCGCCTCCGTACACAAAAAGGCGCCGTTTGTCAATTCAGTGTTTAATGTGATATAGACAAACAAAAAACGCGCTAAAAAATGCCCGCAACGAGGAAATGCGTTCTTGAATATTACAATGTAGAACAGGAAATAATATTAAATTAAAAACAATTACTTTACACAAGTTTTCTTGTTTACGTATTAATTTAAGTAGAAATGTAAATCTTTAGAAAACAACAATTAATATCCTAATTCCACTGCAGTGTTGCCACAAAATATTTTTTTGAGTTGTGTCTATCTCCCGCTGTAGAGCCGGACGACAATGCGGCCCCCGCGACCAAGCGGCGACGCAGTGAGGCCGGGTGTGACATGCCCGGCGCACTCACGGCGCCGTCCACGGCAACGGTACCTACGTCAACGTCGATATCCTCGTCAGCGTCGACTTCTTCATCCACGTCGACGTCATCGACAGCAGACGCTGGGGCCGAGCACAGGTGAGTGACGACGTGTCCAATAACATGTATGTACGTATGTATATGGTACTATGTTTGACGTGTCCGTGTGTATGTACAGGAGAGCCGCGCGGCGCCGCCTGTGTCAGCTGTACGCCACCTTCGCCGCACTACTGCCGGAGGTCAGTCACACACACAGACACACAGACAGACAGACACACACACACACACACACAGACACACACACACACATGTGGCTATTTGTCTGCACTCGCCTTTATTTGAATGAATATAATTTTGTATGTTACAGAGTATCACGTCAATACCAAACATTAAGCCGCCGCAACCGTCGCGCTCAGCGAGGAAGAGAAGCCGAGCGAGCAGTCCGCCAGCCACCAGTAAGAGTACACCAGCGCCCACTGATACTACGCTACTGACCACTAAAATTACGCCAGAAACCAGGAAAAATACACCGGTCAACAATGAAAGTCCGCCTAGTAAATGTACTCCAGAGCGTAGAAAAAGTACATCATTAACAAATGAAAGTACGTCAGTGCCCAGTAAAAGTAGAAATATTAAATGTGAAGGCATGAGTACGCCCACTAAAGCTACGCCAGGAACTAATACAAGTTGTCGTGCGAACAGTACAATATCAAATATTCCAGAGACTTCCGAAAGTACGCCAGTGCGCAGTAATAGTATGAAAATACACAAAAATGAAAATACGTCAACGTCTAGAAATAGTACACCAGTTAAAGTTGAAGAAACGCCAGCGTTGAATACAAAACTCACTGATACAGTCCCGCGGGTTGATAGTAAAAGTACGCCAGTGAGCAGTAATAGTGCTACGCTGATTGGTTCTACTGTCACTATCGGGATCTCAGTGTTCTCGCCGCCGACACCGACCAGTACGCATGCGCCGGGGATACTGGACGGTACGCCAACATGCAGTGCCAGTACTGTGACGTCAGAACCAAAGTCGGTGACCTCTACTCGTCCACACACTGCGCCGCCGGGGACTTCGCCACTCAAGCCGGGGGTGTCACTATTGAAACCTCTACAGCGTGACACAGCTGCCACCACTGCAGCCAGAGCCCCGCCGGCCGCTGACGTGACTCGTCTGGCTGGGTATGAAGAGTGGCAGCGACAGAAGGCGGCCAACGCGAAGTACTTCAACATCAACACGTCCACTAATGTCAAGAAGCGGGCCCCGCCACCCTCCACCACTGCGTCACTGAGTACACTCCCAGCGGGACCCCCGATACCGGCCGAGACCCTGCTAACAATCGACGCCCCTTTAACAACCGGAGCCTCGTCAACAACAGGGACCCTTTTAACCTCCAAAGCCCCGTTATCAAGTGAGACCCCACTACAGACCTTCGCTCCGCTACCGACCGGGGCTTCGCTACCGCCCGGGGCTTCGCTATTGCCCGGGGCTCCGCTACTGATCAGGGCCCCTCTACAGACTGGAGCCCCGCCTGTGACCCCGTTACCGTCGGAAACCGTGATACGGTCTATGACCCCGCTACAGGCTTTGGCCCCGCTCCTCGCCCCCGGTCAACCTGCCCCGGTCGTGGTGGTCATCCAGAATACCATAAACAACGTGTACGGAGCGACCCCGGGCCCCCCCGGGCCCCGCGCCCGCGGCACGAACATGCTGCGACACGGAGACTACATCGAGATCTCAGACTCGGACTAGTCTCTCACACACACACTGCAATATTAATTGTAAAGTATGTAGTATAAGACACGTGCGTCGAGGAGTAGATGTCAATACTTGTATTGTAGTAAGTGATAATAATGTAATGAATGTGTTGCTTGGTACGTCCAAAGCCACCGATGTGTTTCATCAGACAATGTGTCACTATTTACCATTAAGTCTAGTCGTAAGATGAAGTGGAACTGCGCAGTACCATGTACTGTGTCGCCATACTGATAATTATGTAAGTAAAGTAATACACGGGATGCAGGCGGCGCCGGGTGACGTCGTAATATATTGTATTATTGTCTGTATATACTGTCCATGCCGGTCCCCGCCTGCTCGTGTCGCCGGTCCCTGGCACCCACCGCTGCTATATAGATCGAGTCAATTATTATAAGAGTAATAATTTACAAATTATGAAATAAATAATTTTACTATAAAAGTAGATATATTTTATTATTCGTACTGTTAGTAGGCCGACCCCGTTTGTCCTTTTTTAGAATAAAAGACAATGTTCTACGGAACCACTTTAATATGTTTACCACAACCACATATAGTTTTAGTGTAAACTTGAAGAAATGTCTCTATAATGTCTCTCTTAATACTCGGATTACTCAGAGCACAATAGATAGTGTGACGGCGTCCAGAATCTAACTGATTTTTATTTCATTATATTAATTCCATGCATTAGACGGAAATGCAGTATCAGCAAAGTGCGATGGAAATGTACTTTATATTTGTAAAGGCTGACTTAGGCTTTACCGCTTTGTAATAAGGTTTATAACAG